CACCACTATCCCAGCTACTAAGAAGAAAATTAACTCTATCCCAGCCGAAACCAGGACAACAGTATTCAGTACAACTGAACATCTGCTGTTCTACAAGCAAACTTGTGATCTAGCAAATATCCACCGGTGGCAGAGTGGATTTCTGAGGGCATTTTAGCAAACTTATTAAAAGCTTGTGATCTAGCAAATATCCACTGGTGGCAGAGTGGATTTCTGAGGGCATTTTCAGAGGGAATTTCAGTTGGAATTCCCATTTATAAAATTTTCACTCGTGCAATTTTTTTGTAGTCCTACAACTTACATATGCCATGTAAGCAAGCTGTCGATGTATATGTGAAACCTGCAAATAAAGATAAAGCTGGGGATTAAAAGCTTGTGATCTAGCAAATATCCACTGGTGGCAGAGTGGATTTCTGAGGGCATTTTCAGAGGGAATTTCAGTTGGAATTCCCATTTATAAAATTTTCACTCGTGCAATTTTTTTGTAGTCCTACAACTTACATATGCCATGTAAGCAAGCTGTCGATGTATATGTGAAACCTGCAAATAAAGATAAAGCTGGGGCTGTTGTGCATATGACCCAAATCTGCCATCTATTGCATAGTAAAAAGCTGTTATTATGGTCAAAAACTATCTGTGAGACCACGAAAGCATGAGATAAACTCATGAGTTTGTACAATTAAGCAGTGAAACACATCAGAGAAAAGGGATTAAGTGAAATTGTTATAATCTGTTACTTAAAAAAAAGCTGGACCACATTAAAAGCTGGAAATGTAACTGGGTATAGACATCCTCTGTCAATGAACAGAGATGTACACAATCCATCCTTCCACAATGCTCCTTTTTCCCAAAAGTTTCCTCAGGGCAATTGCACCAGCTCAAGAACAAAGCTGACAGTCAACACAAACCTACAGAGCTTATTTAGGCCTTCAATCCTGCACATGAAAATTGTAACATTGCTCATACCCTGAAGGGATTCTACCACTGACAATCTATGATCCATGCTCAGGGCTATCAGCAAGTTTTGTGAAATCTGAAAAGCACCAGGTGGAAAATTCCACAGAATGTCAGTGACATGATACAAATCACAATAAACCATTTAAAAAAAAAAAAAAAAAAAAAGGCTAAGAAACCATTCAATGGGTAAGAAATGCAGTCTCTATCCAGATGCCATCCTCTCATCAACATTTAGTTCTTTCCTCTTCATTTGTTTGCTCCAGTCTTATCCCATCCCCCTATTCTTTGCTTTGTTGCTTTCAAGTCAGGCTGCTTCTTTGCTTCCGATGCTTGGTTCCCAAAACTGTGCTGACAACCAAGACGTGGCTTCAGAAAGCTATTCAAGACCAGCAGTCAATCCTAAAATAGAGGTTGTTCAGTGCAGGTGTTTTTTGGAACGAAGGGGTTTATTATTACTATTTTCAAAAAGTTTGAGAAACACTGAGGTCACAGTGGAAGTATGTGTACAAAAAAAACCCAACACAAACAAAACCCAGACTAGTCTCCTTATCAAATTTCATAACCTTGCTCCAACAAACCCAGCTCTGCTCTATAGGCACCTCTCTCACTAAGAGCCTCATTTCACTCTACATTTCACATTTGAAGCAGGTCTTGAAAACACCTGAAGTCTCCAGATGGCACATTCATAACAGATGTATTTGTAGAACAGCTTTTTAAAGTCTACCTGATGCCAAGACCACAGCACAGTCTACGCAGCTAAACAGATTTGAATGCATTTAAGCCTTCTTAATTTCTAGTCCAGTTACAAACCCAGGCTAGTTAACTGCTAAGATTTGTTACCTCACTTTGGCAAATCTTTTAACATATGACACTATCAATCAATTAAAAGGAGACAGCAATGACTTGTTCTTTTGAGCAGATCAAGTAATTGTCCCCTCTGACTTTACCTATTTTATATGCCCCATATAATATACAATTGGCAAGGCACAAATATATCATAAACTGGACATCAAGAAAAATATTTTCTTCACTGAAGTTCCTTTCAACACATCCTGTTAATTTAAGACATGAAGACAAAATGTTATTTTGATGGAGAATGTCCTAGTAAATTAACATTTTACAGTTTTACAGCACCCTAAGAACCTTTTCTACTCTAGAGATAACCAGTTTAAAATGTGCTACTTTATCTCTCCCTTTCTGATCTTTGCACTAGGTCTTTAATCCTCCTGGCTTATTCTCCACTACTGTATGACTCAGTTAACACTCCTCTTTGACAAAACCTATGCGAGTTACACTGCATTTCCCATACCTCAAAGCTCAACTGGATATCTCGTCAGACAAACTAGTACCAGTAGATAAAAGAAAAGCTTTCAAGCACACAAGACTTTCCAGATTGAAGACGTGAGCAATGAACTCCATCCACAGATGAAGAACCTTACAATTTTTGACAGGTGTAACACTGCTTTATCTAAAACAATGCTGTATATTTCCAATTTAAACTGTTACTACAATCTTACAAAGTTATTTCAAGGGTTTTCCCCTAGAAGGTTTTTAATGACAACTCATCTGCCACTGGCAGGTTAGTTTCTTCAATACATCTCAATCCTAAAGTCTAATTAGCAACCAATAAAGGTTGACAAAGATCCTTAAATCCAAAACAAAATAAATAACAGAAAACATCTCTTGCCTTTTATATCATATGTACTGTTTCTTCCCAAACACACAACCTCTTCCCCTCCTCTACAAATATTAACTATTGTTCTTAGATGCTGCCATTTGCTGGAGTACCTATCATCATTCTGCTGCAACATTTTTACAGTAGCAACAGCAGCTATTTTTGTTTATGCTTACATCTAAATGAGAGAAATAACATACAAACCTGAAAGTTCTGGAGTTTATACATGGACTACTGTTCCTTAGCTTTAACTGTGCATAGAAAGCTGGTTTAACTACTTTTTCTCCATTTTCCACAGAAAATAAATGCCCAACCTAGGCATAAGCACCACCTTTTTCCTCTCTAAAGATGGATTCCTTAACAACCTTAGCCACTCTCCTAGTTTTCCAATAAAAGTTCTAGTTGCCACAGGAGGGGGGAAAAAAAAAAAAAGTCTACAGTGGGGAAAAAAGTACTTGGGGAATATATATTTATATATAGTACTGTAAATGGAGATGTCAGTAAAGTAACTCAGTGTTATCAAAACAGAAACCAAATTAATTTTAGCATCCTCTGAGACACTTTCCAAAAGGGTAGACACTCTGCAATATTGCAACTGACCTCTCACACCAATCACACTCAAACTTCACCCCTGTGCAACATTTGCCTGAATATGGGAGGGAAGGCATGCGCAGAGTTTCCTCTGGGCAAATCCCTGCTATGAAAGGCTGATCCAGGAGACTTCAGTCATGTCACTGCAAGCAGTGGCACAAAGAAACACAGTGTCCTTCACTCACCCTTCCTGTAGTGCATCAATAAGAGAGCTAAGTTTGTTTTCTGCTCCTGATAATCACGTAAGAGGCCTGGAACCCCGTTACATTACACACTATGCAACGACTGTACCTTAACTGAAAGTTTGTAAGTGCAATGTTGGAGCAAATGTACCAGATGGAGTCCAAAGTAATGAAGTTATTTTAATCCGCACGCAAATAGCTGTTTCAATGTACTAGCTCTCAAGCTATTGTTTAGATTCTGTATGCAACATGGCAGCAGCAGTTCTAAGGAGTATCTGTCACTTACATATCAACATCTAGATTTTCAGTTAATTGCAATTAAAAACCTTATGAGTATAAAAGTCATAAGCTTAAACTTGGTGTTCTAGTAGATCGTTGCTTTTAGAAACATTGTATGCCACTGCTTTTAACTGTCTTTTCATTTCTGCTGTATGATTCAGTGATAAACAACTATACACCATATAGCTTTATTTCTACTGCAGAACTAACCAGCAGAGGGAGCTTATATCCACAATACCTCTTCTAACTGCTTTGACATCTTTGAAGTTATCCAACAATATCAGAGTACAAACAGGAACAGAAAAAAAGATGATTGTTTGAATTTCATTGAGGATAAAAATAAGCAAGAAAGGATAACTTGTAGAGAAGGAAACTGAACTGGCCACGTATTATGAATAAAAGAAATTGAACTCGGAGCAGTCACCAACCTTAGGGAAAAAAAACTAGATCTACTCACAATTAAAAAAAGCCACATACTTTCAGAGACATAAGCCCTTCAAAAATTCTGTGCTAAACTGCTGCCTACGCAAACTTCTCACTAGTTTGCTTTCTAAAGAAAAAGTGTGCAGGCTGATTCTCAGTGAA